GATCTTAAATACATTATACACGTATAGATGCTCTCCTTTGGACTTGAGGGGAGTGCCCCAATGCTCTCCAAGCTCTTGAACTTCTTGCACAAGACTGAACAAGGCTTGCTTCATGGCTTTGGTTCGGGCTCTTGTCATTGGACCTCCAATATGTTGCAATGGGTCTTTAGGTACATTGGATTGGAAGTATTGGGCTCCTTCTATGTCACCATGCTCATGATTACCATCCTCAGGCTTCGTTGCCATTAATGCTATGTCACCCGTGCCATGGGGTCCATCAATATGGCCAAAACACACAATCAACACTACATGCACTATTTGGCTTCTATTGCCATATAATATATTACAATTACATTATCACCACATAGATAAACATTCCTTGCACTTGTATTAGCATTTTAGCCCATCACCACGAAAATTACCACATATTCACCTCATATACAATATTGGGCTAAAATACACAACAACATAGTATGAAACAAGTGCAACCAATCAAAATGATATGCATTCCTAATTGGCAACAAATAATATCATATAACAAGTTTATGTACACTACTCAAACCAAAATTGGGCATTACTATTCGATGTAGCAAATCTACAAATCCTTGCCTAATTCCTTCCCTAACTCAGTCTCAGCCGTAGAACCTATAAAATGGTAACCACGAGGTGAGATAAAAATCTCAGTAACTAAGATAATCTACATTATTGATTAATAAGCCAAGTTATAAACAAGAATTAAAATAAGTAACATAATCACATTATATAAAATCACCACAAATTGCATGCATGATCCCTAACCATCTGGTCCTCTAATACTTCTGACCGAACTAGTAGGCTATTTCAGAACCAAACCACGTGTATGGTCCCCAAGCTCACCATCTATGGTAGGACTACTCGGCCAAGGTGTCCTAAACTACTTCTAGACTACTGTTTCCCCTTATTACAAGTAATTGGGGTGTCGTTACTCCAATATCACATCCTACAGATGTTAAGGAGTATAGTCTCCAACTTTGCACCCTTTTAGGTACTAAGGAGAGTAAGCCTCCAACACCATACTCATTTTGGGCACTAAGGGGAGTAAGTGCTGTACTTGGCATCTCGAGGTGCCAGCAATGCCATATGGACTTAATCTTTACTATCTCCACTAGGGTGACCTCTCACTTTCTAATATGCCACATTTCACTACATATTTCCACTTGATTATCCACAAACAACTTTCCAAATAAATATAACAAATCTTATCATTTACTTCAAAAATATAGAATTTTACAAACCAATACTCCACTCATTTTCTAAAATAGTTAACCTTTAAAGAATTTATACATATATAATTAATAATTCATAGAAAACCAACTTGAGAATAACTTAAACAAGATAATAAATAATGCAAATTATCTAGTTACCTCAACCATTTTGTTACTAAAAGGGTTACCTGTGGTACTAATTCCCTTCTTGTGTCAAGGTAAGTCTTCCCACACCATAATCTATAACAACAAGTACTATATGTTAATTTCCAATTCACACAAGCACTATTAACTACCAATAACCTTCTAATTCTCCCACTTCTCACTCATATTCTCAATAAAGAGACTTATTAAGATTAGAATTTTTTCACACCATCCTTTTAAGTCTCTTTCTAACTATATTACAACATAAAACTTAATATCTCAACTTATCACATTTCAACACTCTATGATCAAGTTAAGGCTTGATCCAAAATTCACCAAACAAGAAAGTAGCTTCCTATTACCACATATCCAAGATCAATAAACCTAAATTAAACCTTTTAGAGCTAATAGAAACCTTCAAAACATTGACTCATGACTTAATCCAATCAGACTAAATTCTCACTCTTTTAAATTCCATGGAAAATGAGATGAAAAGGTAGAGGAGAAGGGTAGAAACCTTACCCAAGAGTTTAGAGACTCAAATTATCTTCAAAATCCTTCTAAATTGATGCCCTAGTAGTGCCCAAAGTTGCCTCCTTCGTGTTCTAAGTTTTCACCCTAAAATCTGTCAATTTCTGATCATTTTCCACGCCACGCAAGCCGCAACTCATGACGTAGCAAGCAACAAGTTGATTTTGCTCTCCCCGATGCCTCTCAACTTAATCTAACTTTCATCCTATCTAAATTTAGAGCCAAATATGACCCAAAAATCTAATTAGCCACCCAAAAACATAATTAAATAAATTAATCATATTTTTAGATAATTTATCCCTTAATTAATCAAATTTTCTAGATTTGAAGTTTAGGATGTTACAGTTCTCCCCTCCTGTAAAGGAATTTTGCCCCCAAAATTCAAGAACAATTACAACACATACCTAGGGAAATAGATAAGGATATTGCTGCTTCATTTTGTCCTCTGTCTCATAGGTAGCATCACTAGGAGCCATTCCTTTTTACACCACCTTAACCAGTCGAATAGTCTTGTTCTGTAATTGCTTATCTTTAATATCTACTATTCATTCTGGCTCTGCTCGATAAGTCATATTCTTTTACAGCTCTACCTCTTTAAGTTCAATCACATGAGATGGATGAGGTTGATACTTCTTCAGTTGAGAAACATGTAAAACATTATGAATCCCAGATAATTGTAGTGGCAAGGCAATTTGGTAAGCAACTGGCCCAACTTTCCTAAGGATCTGAAATGGACCCATGAATCAAGGAGATAATTTCTTTGCCCTGATTGACCTCCTGATTCCCGTCACATGTGAAACTCTTAGAAAAATATGGTCACCCAACCACAAACTCCAATGGCCTTCACCATTTATCTGTATAACTCTTCTGCTTACTCTGAGCTGTTAGAAGTTTTTGCCTTATCATTTTAATCTTTTACGTCATTTGATCCACAATATTAGGACCCATAATGCTTCTCTCACTCAGTTCAACCCAACAAAGAGGAGATCAACATTTTCTTCCATATAGTGCCTTATAAGGAGCCATCCCTACACTAGCGTAGAAACTATTATTGTAGGCAAACTTCGCCAAAGGAAGATGGCTATCCCAATTGCCTCTCAGTTCCAAGGCAAAAGCTCTCAACATGTCCTCTAGAGTCTGTATAGTCCTTTTTATTTGTCCATCAGTCTGTGGATGATATGCTGTGCTAAATCTTAATTCAGTACCCATTGCTCTTTGCAACGCTTTCCAAAAGTTTGATGTGAACCTTAAGTCATGATCAGAGACAATGTCCTTTGGCACCCTATGCAATCTAACAACTTCCTGAATGTAGATCTCTGCCAACTTCTCTAATGAATCACTTATTCGCACTGCCAAGAAATGGGCTGACTTTGTCAACTTATCTACAATCACCCAGATATAATCATGACTGGATTGGGTTCTTAGTAATCCCGAAATGAAATCCATAGATATGCTATCCCACTTCTACTTCAGTATCTCTAGTGGTTGTAAGGTTCCTGCTGGTTTCTGATGCTCATTTTTAACCTTTTGACAAATTAAACACTGAGACACAAAATCTATAACATCCCTTTTCATTCTAGGCCATCACCAATACCGCTTCATATCCTAGTACATCTTAGTTACTCCAGGGTGAATTGTATATCTACTATTATATGCTTCATTCAGAATTTTCTTTCTCAAATCACCCTCATCTGGTACACAAACCCAATCTTAATATACAATATATCCATCATCATTGAAACCAAAGTCGGTGGTTCACCTTTCCTCTACGTCTTCTCGAATTTTCAATAGATACTTATCCTCAAGCTGTGCTGTCCTTAACTCTAAAACTCATCAGTAATCTTTATGGAATATAGGCCATACAAAGTAAATTCTGATGAGTCATGCTGAATATCCAAGTAAGATTCCAGCAATTTATGCTCTTGCACCATTAGATAAGCAACATGCAATGACTTTCGACTTAAGGCATCTGTAATCACATTTGCTTTCCCCTGATGGTACTTAATTTCAAAGCTATAGTCCTTTAAGAACTCTATCCACCTTCTCTGCCTTATATGAAGTTCCTTCTGATCCACTAAATATTTCAGGCTCTTATAGTCACTGAAAACACTGAACACTGCTCCATACAAATAATGCCGCCAAATCTTTAGTGCAAACACAACTGCAACAAGCTCTAAGTCATGGGTAGGGTAATTTTCTTCATGTGGCCTGAGCTGTCTAGAGGCATAAGCCACTACCCCCTCATCTTGCATCAACACACATCCTAGACCCTTTAGAGATGCATCCGTATATACTTCATATGGCAATCATGGATTAGGAATAATCAACATCGGTGCCGTAGTCAGTTTCTCCTTCAACTTTTAAAATGCGATCTTGCACTTGTCATCCTAAATGAACGGCTGATCTTTTCAAGTCAACCTAGTCAATGATGAAGCTATCTGAGAGAAACCCTAGATAAATCTATGATAACATTCAGCCAATCCTAGAAAACTCCATATTTCAGTCACAAAACTAGGTCTTTCCCATTTTAACACTGCATCTACTTTATGCAGATCCATCACAATCCCTTCCGTCGACACAACATATCCTAGAAATTGGACCTCTCATAGCCAGAACTCACACTTGCAAAGCTTGGCATAGAACTTGTTATCCTTCAAAATTTATAGCACAATTCTCAAATGCTTCGCATGTTGCTCCTCGTTTTTAGAATATATCAGAATGTCGTCAATGAATACCACAACAAACTGATCTAGGTAAGGCCTAAATATATAGTTCATGTAGTCCATGAAAATCACAGGTGCATTTGTTAACCCAAATGGCATGATCAGGAACTCATAATGCCCATATTTGGTACGGAAAGCCGTCTTGGGCACATCCTCCAAGCACACTCTTAATTGATGGTGTCCTAACCTCAGGTCAATTTTTGAGAACACCGAAGCTCCCACTAATTGATCTAACAAATCATCAATCCTTGGTAAAGGATATTTGTTCTTCACCATCCTTCTTCTTAACAAATAGCACAAGTGATCCCCAAGGTGACATATTAGGTCTAATAAATTCCTTTTCAAGTAACTCCTCTATCTACTTCTTCAACTTAGCTAACTTTGTTGGTGACATTCGATATGGTGCCTTTGAGATTGGTTCAGTTCCTGACACTAGGTCTATTGTGAATTCCACTTTCCTTTCTGGAGGTAAACCGGACATATCATTTATAAATAGCTTAGGAAATTCATTCATTACGCCAATCTTATCAATACTTCCATCGTAGACCCCATGCACTGAGAAGAAAACCATATAAGCTATACACCCTTGTTGCATCAATTTCTTTGCTTGTACCACTGATAAGAGCTCAGACTCGTTTGGAATATTAGCTGGTGTAGCATGTACCGGTAATAAAACTATCTTCCTAGCACAATCCAAGGTGGCATTATTTGCCATCAACCAATCTATACCGATAATCACGTCCAAACCCTTCATACGAATCCGGATCAAATTAAGAGTGGTCAAATGATTTTCAAACCTTACTTCTACATTCAAACATGCTTTACTAGTCATATCAGATGACCCAAATGGCGTAGACACTTTAATCACATAAGGCAATTCATGCAAAGGAAGTCCCAACCTCTTTACACATTCATATGAAATAAATGAATGTGTAGCACCAGAATCAAATAATGCTTCAATTTTCTGCTCGCAGATAGAAATAATACATTTTATCAAATTCAAAGAGGCTCTTGCCTCTTCTTGAGATAGTGTGTAGACTCATCCTAGAATGGTAGATCTCTGCTTTGTCATCTCTACTCTTCCCTTGGAGCATTGTCTTGCTAGATGGCCAGGTTTCCCACATTTAAAACATGCCCAACACCTCTCAGGATTTGACCGCCCACACTTAGCACACGGTGGTGGTCGAGCTGTACTCAAGGTCGGGGCAGGCATATTAGAAGCTTGTTGGGATGGTTATGGAACACCAGAACTCCTAAATCCACCCCTCAAAAATGTTCCCCGAGTTCGTGATCCTCCAACAAAACTCTTCTTGCCCAATACTGTAGTACTACTCAGGCCATAACCCGTCTTCTTAAAGACTCCTCTAGAAGGGCTTAGGGAGGATGAGAACCTCCCATGACTATCTCGTCTCTTTTCTACTTCTACTTCTCGACCCCTTCTTGCTGCAATTCAGAGTCGATTACACATATCAACATATGTGGTTACTCTTAGCAGAGAAATCTACTGTCTATATTCAGGCCTCATCTTTTCTAAAAGCCTCTTGGCCTTCCACTCATTATCATTGGTCTCATTCAAATAAGTAGAAAATTTTGATAACTAATTAAACTTCTGGATAAATGCTTCCTCATCAAGATCTCCCTGCTGAAATCATGAAACTCGGCCTCTTTCTTATCTCTAATTGCTAAAGGAAAATGATGATCAAAGAGCATTTTCTTGAATTGTCCCTATGTTAGTTGGCGTCCATCTACTGGTCTTGTGGAATTCCACCAGTGTTTAGCATCTTCAACAAGATATACTATGGTTATAATCACCTTCTGTTCCATAGAGCAAGGTACCACCTCAAAGATGGTTTTAACTCTCTCTATCCATTTCTCCACTTCTCCTTCCTTCATATTTCCATTAAAGGTTAGAGGGTTAAACTGAGAAAAAGTCCTCCATGCTCGATCAATAGCTATCCCTTGAACATCTCCATCTAATATCGTCCTAGACAATCCAGGTCTACTATCGAAACCATGAGATGGTTCCAATCTGCTCTCATGAGCTTCCTCTTGTCTCCTTTGTTCCTCTTCACAACCTCTACTACGGAGCAGAGTGTCCTGGTCTTGTACAGTTCTCTGAATATTCCTCATCATATCTCGTAATTCTTCTAGAATTGCATCATTACCCTAGGGCCTTTGTTGTTGTTCCACTTGTATCTCTAGCTGTACCTTTGGTATAGGCCCATCATTCTCCAGTAAATTACTAACATTTTGAGTACTTCTTCTAACCATTTTTCTCCCCTCCTAAGGAAGAAACCAAGTAGAAAAGAGGAATTAGTGGGAAATAAAGGAAATGAGACAAAAGGAAAGAGTTGTGTACATAATGGTTCCAACTAATGAGAATGAATGCAATAGACACATCACCAGAACCAAATCCCATAACCTGAGAAACTAATATCAAACTATAATGTCCACCTTGACATTACCAAATTCACCACACAATCATAATAAACATTTATAATTAGGAGCAAGGATTTTCTCCTAAGCTCACATTATCCATATAAGGGTTAAAACTAATAATCTTTTTTAAAAATAATTGTGGAATAATTGGGATCCCATAAAAACCCTTTAAATTGTTAGTTTGAGCTCAAACTTAATGATTTATATAGGCATTGGAAGCATGGAAATGTTTTGGGAAGCAAACCACTTCAAAATAAGGCTAACAATGTCCTTTTTAAGTGTTTTGGTCCATGCACCGCGGCTCGTGGTCTATGCGCCGCGGCATGTGGCACAGAATGCTAAATTTTCTTGCTGTACCATGCGCCGCGGCTTGAGCGAAATGCACCATGGCACACGTGTCCATGACACCAATGCTGTCATAACAACTTTTCTGGATGAACTTTGAACGCACACCATTTTCACATTCGATGTCTGATTGGATTGATTCAAGTGGCTACGCGAAGCTTATTTAATAAGCTAACTAATGGTATAAGTTTTGTTATGATCCGACATTGTATGAGAATTTTAAACACTCAGATGAAAAAGTCAGTTTTTAAAGAAATTTTCAACCATCCAAGTACCCAAAACTCATAACTAATACCATTAATCTATTGTGAGACTTGAACCAAGTCCAATGGACCAAAATACACTTGAGTAACCAATAAAATACACAAAAACATACCAAACACAAAATTTAGCCACTCAATGGCCATTTTACCCAAATTGGCCAAAACACACAATCAACACTACGTGCACTATTTGGCTTCTATTGCCATGTAATATATTACAATTACATTGTCACCACATACATAAACATTCCTTACACTTATATTAGCATTGTAGCCCATCACCACAAAAATTTCCACATATTTACCTCATATATAATATTGGGCTAAAATACACAATAACATAGTATGAAACAAGTGCAACCAATCAAAATGATATGCATTCCTAGTTGGCAACATATAATATCATATAACAAGTTTATGTACACCAGTCAAACCAAAATTGGGCATTACTATTCAATATAGCAAATCTATAAATCCTTACCCGATTCCTTCCTTCGCTCAGTCTCAACTGTAGAACCTGTAAAATGGTAACCACAGGGTGAGATAAAAATCTCAGTAGCTAAGATAATTTATATTATTGATTAACAAGCCAAGTTATAAACAAGAATTAAAATAATTAACATAATCACATCATATAAAATCACCATAAATTGCATGCATGATCTCTAACTATCCGATCCTCCAATACTTCCGACCAAACTAGTAGGCTATTTCAGAACCAAACCACATGTATGATCCCCAAGCTCACCATCCATGGTAGGACTACCCAGCCAAGGTGTCCTAAACCACTTCTGGACTACTGTTTCCCTTATTACAAGTAATTAGGGTGTCGTTACTCCAACACTGCATCCTACAGATGCTAAGGAGCATAGTCTCCAACTCCGCACCCTTTTGGGTACTAAGGAGAGTAAGTCTCTAACGCTGCACCTATTTTTGGGCACTAAGGAGAGTAAGTGCTGCACCTGGCGTCCTGAGGTGCCAACAATGCCATATGGACTTAATCTTTACTATCTCCACTAGGGTGACCTCCCACCCTTTAATATGCCACATTTTACTATATATCTCCACTTGACCATGCTTAAACAACTTTCCAAACAAATATAACAAATCTTATCATTTACTTCAAAAATATAGAATTTTACAAACCAATACTCCACTCGTTTTCTAAAATAGTTAACCTTTAAAGAATTTATACATATATACTCAACAATTCATAAAAAACCAACTTGAGAATAACTTATACAAGATAATAAATAATGCAAATTATCTAGTTATCTCAACCCTTTTATTAATAAAAGGGTTACCCGTGGTACTAATTCTCTTCTTGTATCAAGATAAGTCTTCCCACACCACAATCTAGAACAATATGTTAATTTTCAATTAACACAAGCACTATTAACTACCAATAACCTTCTAATTCTCCCACTTCTCACTCATATTCTCAACAAAGAGACTTGTTAAGATTAGAATTTGTTCACACCATCCCTTTAGGTCTCTTTCTAACTCTATCACAACATAAAACTTAATATCTCAACTTATCACACTTCAAAACCCTATGATCAAGTTAAGGCTTGATCCAAAATTCACCAAACAAGAAAGTAACTTCCTATTACTGCATATCCAAGATCAATAAACCTAAAGTAAACCTTTAGAGTCAATAAAAACCTTTAAAATATTGACTCATGCATTAATCCAATCAGACTAAATTCTCACTCTTCCAAATCCTATAGAAAATGAGATGAAAAGGTAGAGGAGAAGGGTAGGAAACTTACCCAAGAGTTTGGAGACTCAAATTATCTTCAAAATCCTTCCAAATTGATGACCTAGCAGTGCCCAAAGTTGCCCCCTTCGTGCTTTAGGTTTTCCACCCTAAAATTTGTCAATTTCTGATCATGTCAAAAATTTTAAGTTGCCTGCTGTGCCGTATGCTGCAGCGCATGCCATGCAAGCCATGGCTCATGACACAATGAGCAACAAGTTGATCTTGATCCTCCCAATGCCTCCTGACTTGATCCGACTTTCATCCTATCTCAATTTAGAACCAAATATGACCCAAAAATCTAATTAGCCACCCAAAAACATAATTAAATAAATTAATCATATTTTTAACTAATTTATCCCTTAATTAGTCAAATTTTTTAGATTTGAAGTCTTAGGATGTTACAATGGGCAATGCGTAGTTGGCATTAATAGGTTCAAGAATCAACCCTTACAAATAGTCTACAGGCATCAGCACATTGTGTATGTTATTTTCCTTTAGGATATTAAATACATGATCTCTTGTAACTCTATGTCTACTAGGGCTACTTGCCATGAAAAAGTAATCGTGCTTGCCCTACGTAAAAATAAGTGTAATTTAATAAAATAATAGTGAACTAAAGTTGAGGAATAAAAATAATATGTACCTCAGGAATTTGACCAGATGGCTTAACCACAGTTCAACTATCTATCTTGCAAAGACTGATGTGCTCAAAGGGCAACTTCCCAGTATCATTAGGCTTAAGCAGTGCGTCAATCATTTTTTGCTATCTTCTACTTGTTACTTTAAAACATTAAACATAGCTAAAGAAGGCACATCTTTTAAATTCTTCTTTTTGCCCATTATTTGTTTCCCCGAGATCCCTATGCTAACAACCCTTACATAACCTAGGTGATCATGATTTCCCAATGCCTTTTCTAAGACATCTTTGTCTTGGGGAAGCTCACC